AAAGATCCGCCTGCCTCTGCCTCCCAAGTGCTGGGATTAAAGGCGTGCGCCACCAGGCCCGGCTAATAAAACTAATTTTTAAAACTTAAAAAAAAAAAAGTTGACAAGAGTGTCTTCTTGTCTTAACAGCTAGGTGTGGTGGCTCATGCCTTTCATCATAGCACTTGGCAGGCTGAGGCACATGAGTGGTGAATTCAGATCCAGCCTGAACTGTACCATATAGCATGACCGCACCTTCAACAAACAAATAAACAAGAAAGAATCACTTAAGTGGAACCACTGCATGGTTGCCTTCCTGAACTTCATAATGAATGATTGGGTGGGGTGCTATCCAGACTGTTGTGTGTCAGTGATTTCTTTTTATTGCTAATTAGTAATTCATTTTGTATAAACCTGCGTAAAGAATTAAGCATGGCCCTGGACTTACCCTGTTTGTGTTGTATCTTAGGTTTCCTTTCTCTATTTTTCTTTTCTGTAGTCTAAGGTTGTGGGTGGCAGAGAAAATGGCAGTGACAACCTTCCTTCTTCACCTGGAAGTGGTGACCAGCCAGTGACGGATCATGCACCTTTTTAAGCTTTTCATAGCTCAACAGCCACAGGACACACGGAAGCACACCTTTATCATCACTTCTGCAACTCTGCACAACAGAGCAACCAACCAGGGCCAGTAAACAGCTGGTTTTGAGGACAGACTACCTGTTCATATGCAGATGTGGCTGCTGCTTGGCATGAGTTAGTGAACAGTCTTGTACATAGATGTTTTACACTGAAGTTTATAGATGAAGCAGATCACTGTGCCATCCTTTCCAGGGACACAGGAAGTGGATAGATTGGAGGGACTCAAGGGGTATTGAACTTGAACCCATGTTCTCTTTGGAAGTCTTACCAGAACTTGGAGGGAGGAAGTGTTGGGTATTAAATGAGCAGCATTTCCTGACCTGCCCTCCTCCCCTAACTCAGAAGACATATGCTCACTTAGGGTGCACTGCCTGGTCACAGTTTTTAATTGAGTCCGAGAAATCAAAGAGCTGTCCATTTTCTGAGACCCTAGAGAGGAAACATTATCAGCAACTGCCTAATTGTACACTAATGACCTGGCTTTGGCAGAAGCAGGTTACTATTTTTTAAATCAGTGGACTTTTCAAAATTGATTAGAAAAATAATTAGGCAAAGCAACTTTAGCTTCATCATTAAATAATACTATTTCTTTGAACTCAAGCTGAAATTCAAGCCTTACATTGCCTTATGCTTTGTTTATAATCTTTTTTATATCTATCTATATCTGCATATATATATATATATAGAGAGAGAGAGAGAGAGAGGGTTCTTTAATGGGTTCTGAGTACTATGTAGAATTTTACATCTTGCCAGTCTCACACTCTCCCTGTACTAGTCAATGCCTTTTATTTCTCTTAACACTCCTAGTGTGTGAAACTGGGTTCTCTCAAAGACTGGCATGTCCCACTTGTTCTCCATTCTATCCCACAAAGATGAGGCAGGAGGGATAAGAGAAGGCAAATAAGCCTCTGAATGAGGTGCCCAGCACAGTGCTATTTTGCTGACAGACAGCAGTGTTCTGGTCCACAGTTCCTGCCTGCTTTTCTACCACACAAAGGATGAATGAGATGTAGAACCAGCCATGCAGGTCAGATAGGGGATGTGGTTTTAGTTGAGCCAAAACTCTGCTGTCATTTTTCCTTAGGAGCTACAAAGATTTTTTTCCTGTTCTTTTTTTTTTTTTTTTTTTTTC